GGTATCAGATTGATCTAATTTCTGTGCACTGAGGACAAGCAAGTCCTAGGTTACAAACTGAACTCTCCAATGCAAGAACAAGATGCATTGGCTTTAGGAGGTGCTATTGTCACGAGAAAATAAAAAGGTTTCAGTTTTGTTTTTGCATGTGGGTGGGTATTCTGTTTGTAATAATTGTTTGGATACACTATATTTTTAATATGCTAGTTGTGATAATTTCATGCCAAGTAAAAATGTCCATAGTCATATTTTATGTTCCTAAAGTAACAGAATGACTTGCAATCTAGGAAAGACAAAAGAAATGCTAATGTAGCATTTTTTTCAATTTTCCCGAAAATTTCTGTTTCCCCCCCCCGAAAAAAACTGGGAAAAACCCGGGGTTTTTTCCGAGCTTCAAAATTTCCGGAAATGTTACATCTCTAGGTGCGTCGCTTTAGGCCCTCTTGCGCCCGTGCTATATCCAGTTCAGGATGAATTTTAGCTTTCCTGTAGGAAGGGCCCGTTTGGCTGGCTAAAGGCCTCGTTGTGTCGTCCCTCCCCCCCCCCCAACTTCTCCAGAGCCCGGCCTTAAACCTGGCAGAAGAATGCGACACCTCCGCTGTGACGGCCATGATCCAGTCTCACCTCCCAGCAGCTTATCTCAAGGAAGACATTGGGGGAGAGCTGGTCTACGTGCTCCCCCAATTCAACAGCAGCGTGTCTTCGGCCTATCAGTCCCTCCTGAAGAGCCTGGACAACGGAGCGAGTGACCTCCATATCGGCTGCTACGGGATTTCAGACAGCACCGTGGAAGAGGTGGGCGGCTCGGTCCCCTGGGGCCCAGATGTTGCACAGCTGGCACAGATGGCGGAATTCTGTGAACTGTGGACACGGGAGGTGGGGAGGGAGCTGTCCCGGTGCTCCTCTCTGGGCATCCCTCCCAAGGGAAGATTTCCCCAAGGCCCCTCCTCCTCCTCCCCCCCACTTCCCCCCTTCTGTTTAGAGGGAGGCCCAGGGAGAGGGATGTGTGTCCACCAGCAGGCCCCAGTGGGGCTGGGAGGGCCTGCCAGTTGCCTGCCTGTGCCCCCTTCTCCAGGAGAGAGTGTGTGTCCAGTAGCACACAAGAGAGCCAGTTGGGTGTCGTGGTTAAGTGCAGGCGGACTCTACTCTGGGAGAACCGGGTTTGATTCCCCACTCCTCCTCCACTTGCACCTGGCTGGATGGCCTTGGCCAAGCCGTAGTTCTGACAAGAGCTGTCCTTGAAAAAGAGCCGTTTCTCTCTCAGCCCCACCTCCCTCACAGGAGGTGTCTGTCGTGGGGAGGGGAAGGGAAAGGAGTTTGTCAGCCGCTCTGAGACTCCCTTGGGTAGTGAAGGGCCCAATATCATCATCATCATCTTCTTCTTCTTCTTCTTCTTCTTCTTCTTCTTCTTCTTCTTCTTCTTCTTCTTCTTCTTCTTCTTCTTCTTCTTCTTCTTCTTCTTCTTCTTCTTCTTCTTCCTCTTCCTCTTCCTCTTCCTCTTCCTCTTCCTCTTCTTCTGGGGGGGGAGGCGCTGTGGGAGACCATTTTGCCCATGGCCCCACACCATCTAGCGCTGGCCCTGGTGCCACTTGTGGAGTGAAACTGCTCGCACCTCGGTGTGCCTTGCTGGGCAGCAGGCAGGTCCACCGCTCCACCACGACAGTCCTCTCGGGACATGGGGCCGGCCGCTTGAAATCCTTTCCCCCGAAAGCCCCTTCTCTGAGGCGACCCCCACGCCGTGTCCTCGCCCCTGCTCCCTCCCCTCCCCGCCCCTCCCTGAGTCTCCGCCCGGGTTGGGGCTCCTCCTCACACCTTCCCCCTCTCTAAGCAGAGCTGGAGGACTTGAGTGCGTTTGTTCAAAGGAAAGGCCGATGGAAACGCGGATGCCCTGTGGTTTTTGCTCCTCAGGTGTTTCTCAATTTGACCAAAGACTTGTCAGAAGGTGATCCAGCGGATTCGGAGCCGCCCCAAGAGAAGCCCGGCTGCCCTCTGGAGAACGATGAGATGTCCCTGAACTCCGACAACTTCACAGAAAGAGATGGTAGGATTGTTGTCCAGGACGAGGTCCCAGGCAAAGCTCCCTCTAAGCTGCGGAGTCCTGTGGACAAAAATTCTGCTTTGTGAGCTCCTGGCATTAAAGTTGTGAGCGAGCGATTTGGCTGCAGCATAGATCAGTTTGCTCTGGAGCCCCATCCTTCCTGGGCGAAGACAAAAATGTGTGAGCCAGAGGCTAAAAAACCGTGAGCTAGCTCACACTCACTCAGCTTAGAGGGAACACTGTTCCCAGGTGGGCAAAGGATGAGAAGCATTGGCTCCTGCCGTTGTCTGGGCTGGAAGGAGGAGGGCAGGGGTATTGCGAGGGAAGCCCCCCCCCGTGGCTGAGTGTGAGGAGGACCCTTGGGAACACACACACACACGGGAGTGCTTCCTCCCCTCAGTCAATCCAGAAACCTGGCTGGCCCCTCTCAGACCATTCCTGCCTTGCTCCTGTTGGCCCGGAACACGGAGCCTCAGGTCTCTTAAGGAAAGGCTCAGCCCAAAAGACTGGAAGAAATGGCGCATACGCTATAGCTTGATAGTTTTCAAGAACAGATGAAACAAACACTTCAGACTATTCCAGGTCACTTCCCTGGCCATTACCACCCGCAGGCCCGCAGGCCAAACTCTTAAAGGAAGCCGTCCAGGGGGTGTGGGCTCACCAGTGGCCCTGGGGAGGAGACCTGCCTCGCTGCATCTTTGGGACTCAAAACTGAGTTTTGGGGCCAAAGCCCCAAGTAGGGGCAAACCTACTGGCAGCCTCTGGCTTCTAAGTGCCACCTCTCGGCAGAGGTTCACGTTCCGTTCCCTCCCCATCCTTCTCATGGCCCGGGTTGTCAGCTGATGACTGCCAGCCAGTGGGAGCACGGAGGGTGGGAGAGAGGAAGGATGCCCTGCTGGCACTCCAGTGCAACCTCACTTCCTGCAAATACCTGGAAGTGATGTCACATTGGAGCTGGGACATCGGTGTCTGGTCTTACCATAGAGTTCACTGCCACAGGAAGTGGTGGCGGCTACAAGCATGGACGGCTTCAAGAGGGAATTAGATAAGCATATGGAGCAGAGGTCCATCAGTGGCTATTAGCCACAAGGTATAGATAGGGGCTCTGGGGCAAGTGATGCTCTGTCATCTTGGTGCTTGGGGGGGGGCAACAGTGGGAGGGCTTCTAATGTCCTGGCCCCACTGGTGGACCCCCTGATGGCACTGGTATTTCTGGCCACTGTGTGACACAGAGTGTTGGACTGGATCGGCCTTTGGCCTGATCCAACATTGGCGTCTGTTATGTTCTCTTATGTTCTTAGAGTTTAGCCCGAAACCTAGAGTGTTGTGTCGACAGCAGGCCAGAGATGTGACATCACTTCTGGGTTTTTGCTGAAGTTTGCACTGAGGTGCCAGCGCAGCCCAGTTTTTGAAGCCATTCCCCCCACACACACACTGGTCCTCAGTGGGCTGGTGGGCCAAAGAGAGGGAGCCCAGGAGGTCTCCCTGCTCATCACGACCGCCCTAACTCGTAAGAATCGGGAACAGGGTGCCCAGCCTGCTTCTTTTCTGAGGCCACCTCTTGTGATGAGCAGGTGTCTTCTGTTGGCACTCCCGTTGGCCCAGTGGAGGCTGGATGGGTGGCTGCTGCGTCCCCTCTTCTCACTTCCTTGAGGGAAGGCAAAACTCACGGGATGTGGTCATTTGACCGTTTCTAGGACATTATGGAGGTCGATCTGTAGGTCGTTTCAAGAACGTCATGGAGGTCGATCTGCACGACTTGCAGCTCTCAGAATTGTAGGGAGCCAGGAATGGCGTATCCTAACCAATTTGGGGGGTGGGGGGGGGTCCTTACCGCAGAGCCATTGGGACGGCTTCTGATCTGGCTGCAGTGCCCACTGTTGGTTCAGCTGTACCAAGCCTCCCCCATCTCCCTGGCTTGTGCTGTCATGCAGAACCCAAAGTACAGGGAGCAGCTTGTGGGAAAAGGGGTGACTGGTGGCTTCTCCAAAAACCAGTGGTCCACTTGGACCTCTTTGGCCCTGTGTGCTTTCTCAGACCCATGTGCAGCCCTGGGTTCCGTTCCTGGGCCATGCACCCTGCAGGCATGAGGGAGAAGCCTTTTGAGCTCTCTGTTGGGTGGCCGGCCGGCCAAAGGGCTTGACAATTCTGTCCAGCCCTGGGGCTGCTGTTACATTTGTTTGGTGCAGTGGTTAAGTGCGCGGACTCTAATCTGGGAGAACCGGGTTAGATTCCCCACTCCTCCACTTGCTCCTGGCTGGATGACCTTGGGCAAGCCGTAGTTCTGACAAGAGCTGTCCTTGAAAAAGAGCAGTTTCTGTCAGAGCTCTCTCAGCCCCACCCACCTCTCAGGGTGTCTGTTGTGGGGAGGGGATAGGAAAGAAGGTTGTAAGCCGCTCTGGGACTCCAAGTGAAGGGCGGGGTATAAATCCAATCTCCTCCTCCTCCTCCTCCTCCTCTTCTTCTTCTAAAACAGAAAGGCAGGTTTCCCAGAGAGGCGGCACAGAAATGTTCTGAATAATACCCCCCCACACACACACATGCAGTCTGTGATGTGCCAGGGTGGTGGTGGAGGGCAAAGGATATCCCTCACATTCCTCTTCTGACCCGCAGACCAGGCGCTGGTCAAGTCCAAGAAGCAGAACAACTTCGGCCTCTTGCTGAGGAAGGCCGCCGCCTTGTTCGCGAAGAGGTTTCACCACACCCGGCGCAACGTGAAGGGCTTCATCGCGCAGGTCATCCTCCCCGTGCTCTTTGTGACGGCCGCCATGGGCCTCGGCACCCTGAGGACAGAGGTGGCTGAATACCCGGCCCTCCACCTCTCGCCTTCCCTCTACGGGGACTTCGGCCAGGCTGACTTCTTTGGGTAAATATCCTGTCGTGGGACTGGGACAAGCATTTGCCTCTTCACCCCCCCTTTTATGCGGCCAATAATAGCCTTGTGCTGGACAGTCCAAGGACCTTAACGGGGTGCGTGTTAGGGGGACTGGTGGAGAGAGAAATGGAAATGACGATTTGGGGCAGTGGGGTGGGAAAGTGTTTCTAGGGGGACTGGCTGGGGGAGGAAATGCCTTGTTTGGGGCAAGAGGCTTAATTGGAAGGGGGAGGGGGGAAAGCCTGGCTCGGGCAGCCCACCAAAGTCATTCCCATGTTTTCCTGCCAGCATGCAGTTCTCAGCGGTCAACTTTTCACTGCTGTTTAAATTCTCCTGAATTTCAATAACAAGTCAGGCTTTAGCACGTTTCTGCAGATGGAAAACAGGGTTTCAGTGAGTCTTCCTGCGCACAGGCTGTGTGTGCCCTGGACCCCCCAAAGTGCTTTTCTAGCGCAAGGGAATCTACAGAGTCTGGGTCCACAAATCCTCCAGCACCGTTACGGTGCACTGGATTTCACAGTACTTCTAGAGTGCCTGCTCTCAGACAGAAACGCCCTCTGCTGAGACAGACATCTCTGAGGGTCTAGAAACTGGATTATGAAACGAAAACTGACAGCTGAAACAGGACTTCTGAACAGTGCTGCTGCGTCCGCGGAATTCCTTCCAGATAAGCTGTCTGAAGGTGACTGCTTTCAGGATCACGGCCTCAAATTTTCAGAAGGCAAAGAATTTAAGCTATTATAGAACTTTGGATGCAGTAGTCATCGGTGCACAAATGCTCGTATTTCATGGCAAAATTCTGCCGTGCTTTACTGGACTGGGAGGCTTCTGCGCGGTTGGCCCCTTGGGCCTGTTCCATGCCGCCTGCCTCCTACCCTGTCTCCGAGGAAAGTGTCGCTAACCACCACCACCCCTCCTGCTCCCCCCCTTTCTTTTTGAACCTCTAGGAACTATAACAAAAGCACTGAGCCTCTGGTTGCCTCCTTGCTCGCTTTCCCTGGAGTGGACAGCACGTGTCTGAACAGAAGCAGCCCGTGAGTACTTCTTCCCCATCTAGGATGGGCAAAGCACCCCAATCGAGAGTCATCTGTAGGGATGGGCATAGGCTGGGAAAATGTGGTTTGGTTACTGGTTTGTGGCGCGCCCAGTCCGTGAGCCACAAACTGTCACAAACTTTCAGACACCGAACCAGTTCTGTTCGTGAGGTTCGTGGCGTGGTAGAATGGCCCCTGTCTGCTAGAGACACCAGACTTGGAGGGGATTATCCAGATGCTTCTCTCTGCCTGTCCACCAACTTTGGTGAGGATTGGATCTCGGGGGTCCAAGTTATGGCCCCCCAAAGAAGGTGCCCCCAGGAACATGCTTTTGAGGGAAATGACAGGTGCAGGAGGTTCCAGGGTGTACAGAATGGACTCTGTGCAAGCTGGAGACATCAGAGCCACAGGGCGTCTCTGGCTCAATCTGGCTGATGTGGGGCTGGGGTGGGGGTGGGATGGCAGGAGAGGGGAGGGGCTGCTTAACCCTTTCCCTCCCTGCCCCTCCCTCAGCTGCTCTGGGAAGAGAAAGGGAATCCACATTTTTATTTTATTTTTTGCCCTGTGGCAAGTTGGAGTGGACAGATGGCAGGCGATGAAGGGATGAAGCAGCCCACATACTGGCCCTCACCCCCTGAGGGAGCATGCCAAAAGTGTTCAGCTTTCTAGTGGAGCCTCGGGCATGTTGACTTCGGAGGGACTCCGTCCTCAGAGGGCTTACGGCCACGCAGCCCAGTCCCCTGTGCCCCTCTGCTCAGAGATCAGGACCACTCCGCCCAGTGCCGCTTCCTCCCAGGGAAATGTGCTGCACCTCCTCAAGGCCTCCCCATCCAGAGAGGCAGGAGGGCCTCATTCCCGCCAGCAAATTCTTCCCTCCAAAGTGGGGGAGGGGGGAGGGGGCAGGGAGAAAGGGACGGCCTTCCGAGGGGTCTGTGGCCAGAGGGTGGCTGCTTATTCTTCAGTGGATGGAGCATGTCTAGGATGCCTTGGGCGTGGACCGTACACAGTTTATCAGCTGTCCCGTTCATAGTTTACCCCTGCAGGGCCTCCTCCGAACACGGCCCTCCCTTCTGCCTCGGTGACCATGTTGTGGTGCTGATGGTGATTTCCCGTCTCCCTGGCAAGGGAATGGGAAGGAGTCCTTGTCACAGTTCAGTAACCAGAAAGAGCAGCAGGCACCCCTTGGAAAGCCCCGCCCCCGCTAGGGATTTGGCACCACCTTGCTGTGCGCGTGTGTTGTGTGCCCACCTGCCGGGAAACATCCGATCTCTTTCAGAGGCTGTTTCGAGGGAGACCCCGCCCCCGCTAGGGATGTGGCACCGCATTGCTCTGCGCGTGTGTTGTGTGCCCACCTCCCGGGAAACATCTGATCTCTTTCAGAGGCTGTTTCGAGGGAGATGTGCCTGGGGAGTGGCTCTTCAGTGGGAACCAGAGCGCCCAGTATTCTGCCTGCAACTGCACAGATGACAAACAGGTACTGCTCCCCGAGGTCTCGATGAGATGGTGGAACCGGCTTTAGGGACTGGGTGTTCTCAAGAGCTGCTTCCCATGGGGAGGATGGGATAAGCTCTGGAACGGAAGCCTCATCTTCCTGGGTCATGGACCCAGATCCCCCTTAGATCTGCAGACCGTCACACGGGGCACCAGGGAAGGTCGTTTCATGCTTGCCACCTCCCTTAACTAGCACCTGTCGACGGTGTGAGCAGATTGGCTTCTTTTTAATGTGATAAGAGTTCACGGAAACCAAAGAGCCCAGTGAGGCTCAATGCTGCCGCACACGCCAGAGGCTGCTGCCTCCACCAACCCACAAGGCTGGATTTCCCGGACTCAAGTGCCTCCGCAGCCCAGTCAGACTGTCACATCATCCACGCTTCTCGGAACCACGAGGAAGCCCAAGGGCAGCACTTTCGGGGGAGGGAGCAAGAGAGACGGATGGCTTTATCAACCAATACACAGGCAGAGCAGAGGTGGAGGGAGGCCAAGCGGCAGACCCGCTGTGCCAGAGCCAATCCCTGGGAGCCAGGGGGAGTTCCTGCACCCCCAGGGCGCTCCCATCAGCTCGCCAGCACCTCACTCTGCCTGCTTCCCAAGTGGAGGGGCCAGTTGACCTGTTCAGGGGTGCCCAGGTCCCCATGGTGGGCTGCCCGCTAACGTGACCTGGGAGCTCCGTGCTTGGGGCTTAATTCCCTGGCATGCACAGGACCCATTTGGATCAGGACCCCGGGGGTGGGTGGGCAGGGAGCCGCCTGACCCCCAGGGAGGGGTGGAAACGCATGCGTGGCCATGAGTCCGTGCACAGCCACAGGGTCTGTGGGCGAGTGAGGAGCCTCCGCTTTGCAGGCAGAAGGTCCCAGGTTCGAACCCTGTCACCCCTAGTGGGGAGGATCCGGCAGGAGGCAACCTGGAAGACCTCTGCCTGGAAGCCAAGAGATCTGCTGCCAGCCAGAGTAGACAGGCCCTGATGGTTCCGTGGCCTGATTCAGCAGTGGTCCTGCGTTGTCCCTGACTGTGTCTGCCATGTAGGCTTTTGCCACGTGACTCAACACTCAGGCCGTTCGCTCTTCACACAGAGGCACTCTTGTGCTTCCTCGCTCCAGCAGGGAGGAGAGTCACCCCCTTCCGGCTCTGACGTGTCCTTGGACGGAGCCATTTCCCAACCGTTAAGGCCCATGGGGGCAAGATCCGTTGTCATCAGGGGTCATTTCGTAGAAAAAGAGGTGCAGGAACTCATTCGCATAACTCATTAGTATAACTTATTTGCATATGCCACACCCCCTGACATCACCGGAAGTGTGTCAGAAGGCAACACCCACTGCAACTTACCTGGCTGCTTCTTGCTCCTCGTGGCCCAGCGCAGCTGGGAGCAGGGGGTGGGGCTTGTTGCATGTGCCCGCCCCCTGGGCTCTTTACTGGCGGAGCTCCACTCCTGTGCGCTCCCGCAGGAAATGACCCCTGGTTGTCATCCAGAAGCATTCCTATTCCCCCAGGCATGCCGCCGTAGACCAAGCCCATAGGACAGATCCATTCACAGTAACCAGATTCCAAACTCACAATAGTATGTGTGTTTACTCAAATGTCAGTCCCATTCAATGCGGTGGAACCTGTAGTGACGGTGCATGCTGCCATGTATGTGCATTCTAGCCCCACCCTTCCTTCCCAGGCCCTCCGGGGGCATCACACCAGGCTCTCCCTTTCGAGGTCTGCGTGGTTAGTGGTCTCACGGCCAAATCCCATCATCCATGCCTACCGGTTCCAGTGGGGCTTAACCCCAAGGAAATGCGCACAGGAGGTTTGCACTGGAGGGTCCGGAGAGACTTCCTGTGCTGAGATGTGGCCTCCAGTCTCTCCGGTGCCACTTGGCTGCTCTCGGCCAAATGAGGGTGCAGGCAGGGGGGGCTTGCAAGGGACCTCCTGCCCAGGCCGCACCCCCTCCCCCCAATGCTGCCCTCGCCTTCCCCAGGACAACGCAAGAGCTACTCCATTCTCAGAGGGTTTTGGGCTACTTAGATGGCTTGCTAGCGGCCACATTGACCTCCACTGCACGTGTGTCTCACTGGAGAGGACAGTCAGTACTTTAATGTGCTTGGCTGGCTTGGATCAGCACAGAAGAAGAGTAAATGCTCAGTGGAAATGGGGGTGGGGGTGGAAAGGGCTGTCCGGTTGCAGCCAACTACAGGTGACCAGTGTTCCCTGAGTTAGTGCGAGCTGGCTCACTGTTTTTTAGCCTCTGGCTCACACATTTTTTGTCTTAGTTTGGTGTCGTGGTTAAGTGCACGGACTCTAATCTGGGAAAACCGGGCTTGAGTCCCCACTCCTCCACTCGCAGCTGCTGGATGGCCTTGGGCAAGCCGTAGTTCTGTCAGAGCTGTTCCCCCAAGGACAGTTCTGTCAGAGCTCTCTCAGCCCCACCCACCTCCCAGGGTGTCTGTTGTGGGGAGGGGAAGGGAAAGGACTTTGTAAGCCGCTCTGAGACTCCTTTAGGTAATGAAGGGCCATGGGGTATAAACCCAATCTCTTCTTCTTCTTCTTCTTAGCTCAGGAAATAGGGCTCCAGAAGAGCAAACTAATTGACGCAGCAGCCAAATTGCTCACTCACAACTTTCATGCCCGTAACTCACAAAGTAGATTTTTTGCTCGCAAGACTCCACCACTTAGAGGGAGACATATTGCAGGTGACCCCATAGGGAGGGTTTTTGAGGGGAAAAGGCGTTCAGAGGGGTGGTCTGCCGTTGCCTGCCTCTGCCTAGTGGCCCTCAACTTCCATGGTGGTTTCCCACCCAAACACAAACCTGAGCTGACCCTACTTGACTTCCAAGATCTGACAAGGTCAGGCCAGCCTGGGCCAGCCTGGTGAGGGCAAAAAGGAATAGAAGTCTGCAATTGCTTTAATGACTGGGATATTTGGCTAATATAGCAGCGTTTCACCCAGTCATGGAGGCGTGATCCTGAGTGCAGCAAATAAATCTCCCAAGACGTATATTGCAAAAAAAAAAAAAAAAAAAAAGGGTAAACTTACATTTATTCAGGTAGATCCAGTTCACGTTCAGGTTGCCGTCGAAAGGAGAGAGAGAGAAGCCTAATCTAAAGAGTCCTTTCCCCTGTCACAAATGGCCAGCTTGTCCGGCATCCTGTGTGTGGGAGTGTGAGGGCAGCGCCTCTACAGGAGAGACCTACGGAGCCATGTGTCTCCATGGAAGGCCATGAGGAGAGAGGGAGAGATGACAAAGGGAGAGGGAAAGAAAAAAAAACGGGGTCAGAGGGCAGCTCCCAGGTTAAGGAGGTAGCACACTTAGAGTGATGTAGCACCCCCCCCCCAATGTCCAGACATGCTGAGTTGCTCAGTCCAACCATAATTTTGTAAGAAACTGACAGAGACATTTACGATGTTATCATTCTCTTTTTAAATGTACGAGTTATAGGGTACAGTATACTGACCAGTTGCCCATTTCAGGAAAATAGGGGGAATTTTATATGTAACTATCTCTTCTTATGTGTGGCAGGTTTTTTAAACATTTTATTATCTTCTTTTTTTAGACTTGCCCAAAGGTTGATTTTGTTCCTCCTCACAAAAGAACTTTCTCATCCCGGGCAATTTATAACCTCACTGGACATGATATAGAGGCATACCTTCTAATGACTGCCAAGGAGTTTGTGCAGAAGAGGTACCAACGCTTCCTTTCTCTGTCCTCACTAACCTTCACCCTGTCTAGTAGCATCGGAAACGTTTGATTCCCCCCCTATTTTTATAATACTCTGTGCCATTGTCCATCGTTGAAGCTAATTTATAAGTGTTTGATGCCTGCATCTATTTGAGACAAGGCTTTGATCCAAAGGGGCTTTTCCACGGATGTAATGGCATTTACACTAGACAAACAGCACTTCCACAAGTAGAGGGAGAGAGCGATTTTTGGTTATTTCCTCCTCCCGCTGCAGACACCCACTCTGCTCCCTGTACTGCTTGTAAGGGTCTGCTGCCCCCCCCCAGCAGAATTCCCCGGGAACTGCAGAAGGATGCAGGAAGTCTCGGTCCAGAATCTTCACTCCACTCCACTCGCAGTACTTCGGATCCAACCTTAAGCCATTCGGATATAATAACAAGCCATGGGTAGTCATTACAGGAACAAGCATCAGAAATTCTTGAGCTCTTGCCCTCTCCTTTCCCTGTCACTGGGAACTGAAAGCTTCCACTTTCCCAACAAACCAGACTATTTTGTTTTGCTCAGACCAGACTAAATGATGCACAGTGATTTCCCCCCCTCTTCCCTGAAGACTAGAATTGGCTTGGAATCCTGGTTTGTAGGCAAGAAAACAAATGATTTTTTTCATGTTGTCCAGTTCAAAGGGAGAGGGGCAAGAATGTGCAAGACGGAAGCTTCAGAGTCTCATTCCCATAATGATAAACCCAGGTTTATTGTTACATCAGGATTCAGCCTGTGGCCTTAATCAGAGGTCAGGATAAACTATGGTTTGTTACTAGGTCTGAACAGTCAAGGCTTAACAAACCATGGTTTGTTGGTAAGTGTCAAATTATGATTTCAAACTAGGGTTTGTAGATTGTTTGTTAACTACAGCCAGCGTGAGCTGCGGTTTGACATTATGTTCTAATCACCAATATGTTGGTTGTTGGCGTGTGCAAGAATTCATGGATAGCCATTATGTAAGCAAGCGTGTCTGAAGTTTATGTGAAAGCACTGGCCTTGAGGTCTCTATAGGATCGTAGGAACCGGATGCCTGCTTTTTCTGAAGAAGGGAGCAGTGACTCACAGAAGCTGCCACGTATTTTGTTGGGCTCTTGCTCTTTTTTACTGCTACAGACAGACAAACATGACTACCCATCTTAATCGGGCCTTTCTTGCACAATCCTAAAACCATATATTCCATTTTGAATAAATGCTAAGAAACAACAGGTATATACAGAACAGTGTTTTCAACAGTCAGAGGCTAGAGATTAGCTTCCTGGGGCTCATGGTGCTTCTGACGCTGCTGCAAGTTTAAAACTTACCGTCCACGATACAACCCCCCCAGCAAGCCCCACGAAAGCAGGGTGTTCCTCAGCCAGCTCTCCGGCAGGCTGCCCTGTGTTCCTGGCACACAGCCCAAACGGCCCAGGCTCACAGATGCCGCAGATCGGCTCTGAAATTATAGGGATTGCAGCAAGGAAAGTTTTGCCGCAACGGTGGCCTCTCGCTTCAGATTCCTGGCGGAGGAATCTATCAGTGGCTTCTCGCCTTGATGATTGAAAGGCATGATTCACATGCAAAAGCAGTCTCTCCGAATCCCAGGGCTGATGGGGAACAGTCCAAGGAGGCTTGAGCCTCCGTGCCCTGCTCGTGGGCCTTCTGGGAACATCTGGTTGGCTGCTTTGTGAACCAAAATGCTGGACTCAACACGGCAGCCTGGCCAGAAAGAAGACTTCGAGCAATTCCTGCAAGGCTCTCTGAATGCAGCCTTGGGTTGGGGGCTAGAGGAAGGGAAGGTGGTTATTTGAATTTGGCAAGGAGGAGAAGCACAGAGACGGGCACCTCTCTTGGCAACCCCTGGACTGGTTCTCCCTGATCCCTGTCAGCTGGCCGATCTGTTCCTGATCTCCGTATGAGCCCTCCTCCCCAATACATTCAGATTGCCCCCACCCCAAGCGACCCCCTGGAGGAGTGCTAAGAAAGGAAACGGTGCAGGTGCACCCCCATAAACAGCCTCCAGTTACATGTCCATTTAGTCCTTTTAAGATATTCAGTTCTTCAATAAATGTTTTCATAGAAAAGAGCCAGAGTCCAGGAGCACCTTAAGGAGTAGCAAAATACGTGGCAGGGGCGGAGCTTTCGTGAGCACTTCTTCAGATAAAGCTAGAACAGGAGTCCATCTGTCCTTATGTCTTGGAGAACGGAGTGATTTCAGATGCCAAATGGCAATAGCAGGCAAATGACAATAGCAGGCGTGAATGGATTACGTGGGATAGGCAGAGGGGTAGTAGGCGTGGAGAAATCAGCTTTGGAGTTGAGACAGGAAACCGAGGTCTCAATTCAATCCAGGTGGATGCATTGTCTTGAGCTTTGTGATCATTGCTGGCACGTGAAGGCATAAATGAAATCAAACTAGAGGATGAGCAGGAGTTGGAACCTGAGATGGCCTGGCTGATGTCCCTGCCGGGTCCACTGATGGTCTTGCTAGGATCTACAGGAGAGCCAAGTTGGCATCCTGGTTTGTTTCAGGCCTTGGTACCGGAGCCCATGTGACTGCTAAGTAGTTTGTCATTGTGGGTGAGAAGTTGTTTTAGGTGACCCGTGCAGGCATAAATGAAATCACGCTAGAGGATGAGCAGGATTAGGAACCCTAGATGGCCTGGCTGATGTTGCTGCTGGGTCTGCCCCCTCCCTGTGTAAGGGAAGAGTCACTATCCAACATGGGTTGTAGGTCATCAATAAGGCGTTCAGGCTGATGTTGACATGAATGTTTTCATAGCTGGTTCTTGTTCTAAATTGGTTTCGGTGTCTGGTTTCCCAATGCCTGCTGGCAGTATTGTTTTCTAGGCTGTTATTTACCTTTAAGAGTAAATGGTGGCAGAGAAAACAAGGGGACGGAGTGCAGAGGAGATGCTCGTGTCCCCTAAGTGGCAAGAGGAGAACAAACAAAACCAACAACCAATCGATAAGGCGTTGAGGCTGATGTGGACATGAATGTTTTCATAGCTGGTCCTTGTTCTAAATTGGTTTCAGTGTCTGGTTTCCCAATGCCTGCTGGCAGTATTGTTTTCCAGGCTGTTATTTACCTTTAAGAGTAAATGGTGGCAGAGAAAACAAGGGGACGGAGTGCAGAGGAGATGCTCGTGTCCCCTAAGTGGCAAGAGGAGAACAAATAAAACCAACAACCCCCCCCACACACACCCCTGAATCACCACACACACCGTCCGCCACAGCTGTTAAACTATATGAGTCGTACCTGCCTCTGTGGCATATGTTGATTTATTACAGGGTAGATCTAAATGCTACGGCTTTGGACAGCCCGTGCTTCCTCAAGTGCTTTCCCCTCTTTCCAGGTATGGCGGCTGGAGCTTTGGGATGCCTCTGACGAGCAACCTCCAGTTCGACATCAACCCCGTCCCTGCGAACAGAACACTAACTAAGGTAAGCCGTGGAGGAGGCCTTGGTGTCCTTGTGGAGCAATAAACGCAAGTATTACGGCTTCCTTGCCAAGTATTATTAGCAGCCTTTTTGATACTAACTCCTGAGCAAAGCTGAGCCTTTGAGAGGGATATTTGCTAACAGCTGCTTCCCAGTTCCTACAAGAGGCACCTGAAGCACACATGTCTGGAATGGTCTGTCTGTGATATATGGACCCACATCATACAGACACAGGCGTGTCACGTGGTGCAGTCTGCCTTTCACACTGAGAGCCCAGGTGGATCACACTCTGTTCCGGCCATGCAACCCATGGGATGTGACACCTAACAAACGACAGAATCAGACTAGGATTACAGAAATGGGAAACAAAGCAAAAACATGAAAAACAACAGGCTGTCACCCGCCCTCCTCCCCAGTCACCGGCACAGGACCGCCCCCTGCCTCGTGCCTCTGCTCATGCCCAGGCGCTAGGCAAGCTCTGGCAGAGATGTTCATCCCCATTTTACCCTCTCCTGCTTCGGCTGTGAGGCCTGCTGATGTCAGTGGGGCTTGTTGTCAGACACAGAACCCAAGCCGTGCTCTTGCCCTCCTATGGGGCAGATCCAAGAGCCAGTTTGGTGTAGTGGTTGAGTGCGTGGACTCTAATCTGGGAGAACCGGGTTTGATTCCCCACTCCTCCACTTCCACCTGCTGGATGACATTGGGCAAGCCGTAGTTCTCTCAGAGCTGTCCTTGGAAAAGAGCAGTTCTTTCAGAGCTCTCTCAGCCCCACCCAGAAGAAGAAGAGAGAAGAGATTGGATTCATACCCCGCCCTTCACTACCTAGAGGAGTCTCAGCTTACAAACTCCTTTCCCTTCCCCTCCCCACAACAGACACCCTGGGAGGTAGGTGGGGCTGAGAGAGCTCTGACAGAAACTGCTCAGAACTATGGCTTGCCCTACCTCACAGGGTGTTTGTTGTGGGGAGGGGGAGGAGTTTGGAAGCCGCTCTGAGACTCCTCTGGGTAGTGAAGGGCCATGGGGTATGAATCCAATCTCTTCTCTCTTCTTCTTCTTCTTCTTCCACTGAACATAAAATACAGCAGGTTAGAAAAATACAGCTACGAGTAAGGGTCTGTTTGCTTCTTGTTGTCGTGCAGCAATGAGAATCCATTTAAATATTGAAGCATTTCACAAAATAGAGTAAAATCCATCCTGAAACTGGTGGGATGTTGAATTGCAATTAATCTCAGTTCCTCTCCTCTGTTTCTCCCTGTTTTGCTTTTGCCTCTGGAATGTCAACCTAGGTCTGGTACAATCCAGAAGGATATCACAGCCTCCCGGCCTTCCTGAACAGCTTGAATAACTTCATACTCCGAGCAAACTTGCCAAAGGAGAAGTCTTCCACCTATGGTAGGTGCTTGACGGCCCTCGGCAGCCCTGTTTGCTATGGCAAGGCAAGAGCCTTTGGTCTCAGTGCAGCACGGGACAAGGGATGGGCATGAACTGCACTTTTGCAGTTTGGCTCATGATTCGTGGCTGAACCACGAATGGAACCAGGAACTAATACGTCGGTTTGCAACTGGTTCATATTGGTTTGTGAGCCTTTCTGTTGCCATTTTGGTGGGGAGCAGAAAGCGAGGGGGCGGGGCACCAGGAAAGCCCCACTGCTATCTACCTGCCACCAAAAGCAGCGGGGAGCCAAAAAGATGGGTTTAAATGGCTCCAAGCCATTTAAACCCAGCGTTCTGCTCCCTGCCACTCAGCTGTTTTTCATAAAAAGCAGAAAGCAGGGGTTTAAATGGCTCAGGGCCATTTAAACCCCTGCTTTCTGCTCTTCACAAACTACTATGAACTGCCTTAAAATTTGTGGAAGTTTATGGCAGCTCTTCAGTTAGCGAATATCGCTTTGCGAACCACGAACCGGCCAAAATTCGTGATTAACTTTAATTTGTGTGATGATTCATGCCCAGCCTTATATAAGACACCTGGTTGCCAATCTCCAGGAAGTCCCTGGAGATCTCCTAGGATTACAACTGATTTCCAGGCAACAGCTGATCTCCAGGCGACCGTCCACCTGGAGACAAGGGGCCGGTTTGGAGTGTGGAACCTGTGGTATTATATCCCGTTGAAACCCCTCCCTTCCCCAAACCCATCCTTCTCAGGTTCCACCCCCAAAATCTTCAGGCATTTCCCAACTAGGGTTGCCAGATCCAGACTGGGGAACCATAGAGTTTTCCCTCAGATGACCGTGGCCCCGCCCCCAGTGTGCCCGGCGTGGATGCGTCACTTCCGGGTGACGCACACATCGGGGTGGGGTTCCCCCCGGGGCCAGATCCGCCGGCGGCGGGGAACGGGCCTCTGGGGCGGAGGTTTCCCCGCCCCCCGGGGGGACTTGGCAAGCCTATGAGCTAATAGCATAACAATTCACAATTCAATTCACAGACCTTTATTGGCATTACAGTACAAATCCAAATAAAATACACTGGGATCTGTAGTCAGAAATAACATCTCCTCCTAGAGGCCTGGTAGAGGAATTTTACTACTGATTCAATGATTTCACTCTTATTTGAGGCTAAAAGTATAAAGGTCTTACGATCCTCGGATCGCCCTCCAAAGGTAGCAGGAAAGGCTTTAAAAATACAGCACAAATATCATCATAAAATTTACAATGCAAAATAACATGATTGTTATCTGTAATCTCACTCATCCCACACGGACACAGCCTATCTGTATATGGAATTTTCTTAAATCTCCCATATAACACCATAGGTGGGAGCGCATTAAAACGGGCTGACATAAACGCCCTACGCAGATGAGGATCACACAAACAAGATAGGTATTCCGGAAGGGAAGGGCCAGATGAAAGCTCCCCGCGCACTGGGGGACAATGTCCAGGAGCCAGTTTTTTCAGTTCTTGTATCTCAATAAGTCTTTGCTTATTCAAGGCAAAGGCCAGGTTCTCCGAGAGTAAAACCATGTCATTCATGTTAAGTCCAATTACTGAAATTTTCTCCTCAATATAGGTCAACCAAGTTGTGAGCGAGCTATTTGGCTGCTGCATAAATCAGTTTGCTCTGGAGCCCTCCTTCCTGAGCTGAGACAAGCAATGTGTGAGCCAGGAGCTAAAAAACTGTGAGCCATCTCACACTAACTCAGCTTAGAGGGAACAGTGACCCCAGGTGGGACGGGGTCGGTGAGCCCGAATGAAGACAGACACGGCCGAGGGGAAAGTCCTCCTCCACACCTTTCAGGCTGCCAAAGCCCTTCCTGGCTCTGGCAAATCAATGACAGCTTAAGGACTCCTGAAATGGGCAGATCAAAGCAGGCTCTCTGTCCTTCCTGCCACTCGGAATAGGTGCCAGTCCTGCTTTTGAGGCCTGACGCGGGCGTCGTATATTTAAAAAGGCACATAAAAGAGCTTTTCCCCGCTGTCACTAAGCAAATCATAATGGCTTTAGACTTATGTATATTGTGCGGCTTCATCTTCCAAGCCTCCAAAAATACGTATTGAAATGGAAATTTTGACTTCTAGCCTAAGCTGCAGTCAAGAGAAAATGGCTTTATAGTGGAACATTACCAGCTTAGGCAAATGCCACCTCTTTTATTTCTGAGAGAAGAAAATGCTTTCTAGTTATTTGTACTTCATTGTTACAGACTAAAGAGTTTTTCTCATCCGTCAGTAGAGAGGGGGGAAAAGCCACAGCATTTAAGGGAGAACTTTTCTTTACAACGAACTGTGAGAAGCGTCTTGCGGCTCCGTCTCTTTTCTCCTCCTGTTCTTCTGCCTGCCTAACAGGCTGGAGGCCTACTTTTGAAAGGTCACCTACAATACATGAAACAACAAGGCATTCCCGCTAAAGAAACATATCCCTGGAAGAGTCCCCGATGGATGGGATTTAAGCACTGGCATCGTTCCCCTTCGTGTCTTCAGAGCAGTCCGACATGGAAACTGCGCATGTGCAGGCCGGCCTGCTTGTGTGTAGGCCTGCGCATGTGCAGCTCCCGTGTATACCTGTACTGAAGACACTCCATGAGCAACAATCACTGGTAAGCGCAAAGCTGTTTTTCCTTCGGCACGTGAAGCAGAGTCTCCAACACTGAGACACAGAGCCTTCAAGTCTCATTGGGGTCGGCTTCCATTTCGATGTAGAAAGTCAAGCAATAAATCTCACATTTTCCAAATCTTACTCTGCCCGGATAATGGTCTTAATCTTGGAGTATATTATCCTTTCAGTCTGAATCTGTCCCCCGTGCCGGATATAAAAGCCCAGAGAATGGGGCCAGGTACACCCACTGGACATTTTTCTACAGCATAAAAGCCCCAAATTAAGAAAAAATAACAACATTCGGAGCAAGACTGAGATTGCACAGTGCTTTGTTGTGAGTTCTCAGCCACTGTTTTAGGGAAGGGTGGAGGAGCTGCCCGGCAGGTAGAGCAGGTGCCCCCCGTTAGTAGCCCCCCCTCCCACTGCCACAGCTGCATGATCCAGGCAGAGAGAGGGAGGGGTGCTGAAGGTGGGTGGGCTGACCAGTGTGTGGGTGGCCCCAGACAGCAGGGGAAGGATGGGACCCCCCCATCCCCACCCCGTGTTTCAGAGGTCTCCTGATCGTAGTGATAACATTTGCATATCAGACCAGGCAATCAAAAAAACCTTTTTAAAAAATCACACCCTTCAACGCGTACTTTTGTTCTTTGTTTAGGTATTTCTGTTGTTGCTCATCCATACCCTGGTGGAGAGAGTCAGGAACAAGTCATGTAAGATGCGGCTTTTCTCTTTCCTCTTTCTAGAATTTGCTGGGGGGGGAGGGGGGAAGCACCGACTGATCTCTGATTATTCTTGGGCAGCCTCAAGACAGCATGGCCTGCGTTCCAGGGGGGGGGGGGACTGGCCAGCCGGTGGTCACCCACAGCCCCGTAGTAGAGTCTGTTTCTCGTTCAGTGCAGGGGCTGAGTGCAAACTGCTTCCCACTGCTGATCTTCTCGTGTGGCACCCTGTAGCACAGGAAAGCCCCGGGGTCTTCCCAGACGAGCGTCTTTCACACGGGACAGGGTTTTGTGGTTCCCCATTAAATATTTGAAAGGATGTCATTTGGAGGAGGGCAGGGAGCTGTTCTAGTTGGCAGCAGAGGAGAGGACTTGCAAGAATGGGTTTAAATGACACGCAGAAAGGGTATCTGCTGGATATCAGGAAAAACTTCTTCATGGTCAGAGTGGTTCAAAGGTGGAATCAGCTGCCCAGGGAGGTGGGGAGCTCCCCTTCACTGACAGCTTTCAAGAAGAGGCTGGATGAATATTTGTCAGAGATGCTTTAGGCTGGTCCTGCATTGGGCTTGGGGGGGGGCAAGAGTGGGAGGGCTCCTAATGTCCTGGCCCCACTGGTGGACCTCCTGATGGCCCCTGGTGTTTTTGGCCCCAGTGTGACTCAGAGTGTTGGACTGGATGGGGCTTTGGCCTAATCCAACATTGGCGTCTCTTATGTTCTTATGGGCAGGGGGTGGGACCAGATGGTCTGCGTGGCCCCTTCCAGCTCTGTGATTCTATGATTCTATCTTTAAGAGAAACTCTTTAAGAGAGAGAAGTGGGTATAAAAACCTCCTCTCCTCCTTCTTCTCCTTCACCTTCTGCTCCTTGTTATCAGGGCAGCAGAAGGAAGCAGACACAGGCTTCCCACTTGGGTCAGTGGCAGAGCGGAACCGAGGCTGCGTCTGGGGCAGGCGGAGAGGGATCTTCCTGCATCAGCTGCAGCCGGCATAAGAGAGGGAGTGGAGGAACTGGGCGTGGCACTCTCCTACCAAGAGCCGCAGGCAAGAGCAAGAGTCCAGGAGTGCCTTCAAGACGAACAACACTTGTGGCGGCAGGGGAGGAGCGGGCAGCGACTCACCAAAGCTCGTCTCCTGCCACAAATCCAGAGTCCCGTGGGGCACCTTTAAGACCAACCAAGGTTTATTCCAGGTAGGGGCTTTCGTGTGCCAGGCACACTTCCTCAGATACATCGGAATGGTGCGTAAGGTTCAGACTTACAGACAGGGAACTTAACGTGTAACATGATGATGTTTAAAATATGCAAAGTCCAAAATAACAAGCTAAGGTTATAAGGTCAATAGCAGATAAATGCCCAAAGGTGTTTTTTCTAATTGTGGGAAGAAAAGACATATTTGGACATTTATCTGCTATTCAGTCGTATTTATTGCTTTATAGCTTATAACCTTAGTTTGAACCTTACGCACCATTCCGATGTATCTGAGGAAGTGTGCCTGGCACACGAAAGCCCCTACCTTGAATAAACCTTGGTTGGTCTTAAAGGTGCCCCCACCGGACTCCGACTTTGTTCTGCTGCTTCAGACCCACACGGCTGTGACCACCTGGGTCTACCTGTCACACATTGTGTTAGTCTTCCAGGTGCTCCTGGACTCTTGCTCTTTTCTGCTGCTACAGATAGACTAACATGGCTGCCTGTCTCGATCGTACCAAGACGGAGTGCTAAAACTGTGACCGGCAAGTGCTGGGACTTCATCGGGTCCAGAGTGATCCATCGGGTGGCCTGAGCTCAAACTCCCTCAAGTCCATGGGCCAGCTAAAGGGGCCTGTGGCATGCCCAGGGATCCCTGAACCACCTGTGGAGAACTGTGGCCGTGACGCCCGCTAGATCAGGAGGATCAAATTGAACCTTATGAATAATATCTGTAAAAGAAAAGAGAGCCAGTTTGGTGTCGTGGTTAAGTGTGTGGACTCTAATCTGGGAGAACCGGGTTTGATTACCCACTCCTTCTCCACTTGCACCTGGCTGGATGACCTTGGGAAAGCCGTAGTTCTGACAAGAGCTGTCCTTGAAAAAGAGCAGTTTCTGTCAGAGCTCTCTCAGCCCCACCTGCACCTCACAGGGTGTCTGTCTGTTGTGGGGAGGGGAAGGGAAGGGAGTTTGTCAGCCGCTTTGAGACACCTTTGGGTAGTGAAGGGCCATGGGGTAGAAATCCAATCTCTTCTCTCATCTTCTTCTCTTAATTGAGAGAAAAATGCTTTCCCCCCCCTCAGGCTTAGCAGTCTCCTGGACATCATCGTCTCCATGTCTGTCCTGATTGGCTACTCCATCACAACTGCGAGTTTTGTGCTCTACGTGGTCAAGGAGCACCAGAACAAGGCCAAACAGCTGCAGCACATCTCGGGCCTCGGCGTGACCAGCTACTGGGTGACCAACTTCATTTACGACCTCGTAAGTAGCCAGTCCCTTAAACAGCAATGCCCACAGTGACATCTGGTGAATTCATTTTATTTTATTCATTCAATTTATACCCCGCCCTCCCCGCGAACGGGCTCAGCCTGGAAGTGCAGCCTGGGAATGGCATCACGTGAAGTATAACGTTCAGTGGGGCATTGAACTCACATTGATTTATGGTGTGTGGAATCTGTAAGGATTATGTTTTAAAATAAATAAATTAAAAATTAAAAAAATTAAATTAAAATATTTTAAA